AGAGCATAGATCTGTGGCTGCTGGCTGGTGACCCAACAGAATTTTTCTGAGGGTAATTTTCCAGGACCGGAACTGATGGTTACCAACCATGGCTTCCACTGATAGTGGCAAACTGAGGGGCCAGAATTAAATTGCTGGCATTGGCTAGTGCTGATAGCTTCCTGGCATGGCCTTACACTTGTAACGGTAAGCGTCAGCTAGGGCTGATGGCTCCTAGCGTTGGCTTTCCACTGGTAGTGGCAATGCATCTAAAAAGGGAAGAAAAGGGGGGAGAGAAAAAAGACCACCCACACAAACATATACACACTTACATTTGATGATGAAAGTAAGATAGACTCCAGCAGGTAGGTCCCAACAAGCTTTCTTTTCTTTACTTAACTTCTCTTCATTTTAGCCTCCTGTTGCAGGATATTTAATCTCATTGTGAACCCCCAAATAGTGAACTGTAGAATCATGTTTCTTTGTTGTGGTTGAGCCTTATCACACACCTTTAATCCAAGACTTTTCTGTACACAGTATCTAATAAAGTTAACCATAGGTCAAGAGGCAGAGCAATAAACCAGCTGACAGGGATTAAAGAGTAGGAGGAACTTGAAGGGTATTTTAGACAGTGTGGAGGAGAAGAAATGACTATTAGCTCAAGCTCTGGCTTCAGCAAGAACCTATAGTTTTACACTCACCCTTGGGATGAGAGCATGACTCTCACACTTGAAACAGTACAGTCTCTCCGGTAAGGCTTTAGCTGTCAGCCTGGAAGAGCCTAGCATGTGCTAATGTGGACTGTCTTTGAGTACTGGCATTTGTGGTGTTGAGTAAGAACTTACCAGGCCCCTGTGAGCTAGCCTGTGGTCTTTTCCTTGATCCCATCTTTCAGTTTGTCTAAAATTCTCTTAAAGCAAGCTCAGTACTTTTGTGAAGCTGAACTGTTCTAGTCTTCTGGTCTACCAAAGTTTGAGTGTGCAAAGCAAGCTCTGTCACTGCAGTGCACCGCGGAAGGATGGCACCCATAGCAGGGTCACTGTCCTTGTGATCATAAGATCCAGTGTCAGCACTTTTGTTTCTCTGAGGGCTATGGGTGACTGCCTCTTCTTCCGTCTTCATATGGTTTGCCCTCTGCCTATGACAAGTCTCAACCTCTTGCTGTGTTGGATGAGGCCACAAAGATAGACTTGTTTTGATTTATTTTTGGGAAGACTGTGTCCTCAAATACAGTTATGTTCTAATATATGGATGGTTAAGTCTTTTGAACTCAGTGGCTGACTCTTTGATCACCTCCCCCTGAGGGAAAAACAGCCTTACCAGGCCACAGAGGAAGACAATGCAGCCAGTCCTGATGAGACCTGATAGACTAGGATTAGATGGAAGGGGAGGAGGACCTCCCCTATCAGTGGACTGGGGGAGGGGCATAGGAGGAGAAGAGGGAGGTGGGAGTGGGATGGGATAAGGGAGGGGCTACATCTGGGATACAGGAGCAAGATGTATTTCAATACATATATACATTGTTTTATGTTTAAATCTTGATAATTATATTCATCTCAAAAATTGGTCATTTCTTTGTGGTAAGAACATTACAAGTCTTTCATATATATATTCATATATATATTTATTATAGACCAACTTTATTTAGAGGCTTGGGGAAAGACTGGGTAAGTCTACACTGTCTGCTGTCCTTGCAGGGCAGACCTTAGACGGTTCCCCATACATACATACATACATACATACATACATACATACATATATATATATATATATATATATATATATATATATAATCAGAGAAATGCAAGTCAAAGCTACTTTGAGATTCCATCTTACACCTGTCAGAATGGTTAAGATCAAAGACACAAGTGACAGCTCATGCTGGAAAGGATGTGGAGCAAGGAGAACACTCTTCCATTGCTGATAAGAGTGAAAACTTGTACAACCACTATGGAAAACAATACGGTAGTTCCTTAGAAAACTGGGACTCATTCTATGTCAAGACCTAGACATACCATCCTGTGCATTTATGCACAGGATGATCAATCTTACCACGAAGACACTTGCTTCACTACGTTCATAGCAGCTTTATTCATAACATCCAGAAACTGGTTGTTGCTTTTTGGATATCCCTCAACAAAGAATTGAGAAAGAAAATGTGGTACTTTCACATGATGGAATATTAGTCAGCTGTTTAAAAAAATGACATCATGGAATTTGCAGGCAAATGGATGGAACTATAAAAAAAAAATCATCCTGAGTGAGGAAACCTAGACCCAGAAAGACACACATGGAAATATTAGCTGTTAAGTAAATGATAGTTATGCTACAATCCACAAGTCAGAACAAACTAACAAGGAGGGATGCAGGAATCTCCTTGGGAAGAGGAAATAGAATAGACTCTGTGGCTGGACTGTGGTGAGTATGAATGGAAACAGGAGGGATCAGGTGAGGGGAGTGCAGGGAACCCATGCCCAGTACTGATGGGATGGCCAGGAACCTGGGGCTGGGTAACCCAGAAACTAGGATAGAAAAGAATCAGTGAAATGTTTCCTAATGGTATTCTGCTAACTTGTCAATAGGTGTCCAACCCAATGTTCAGCAGAGAGGCTTCCTCAGACATCTGAGGGGAGCAAATGCAGAGACTCACAGCCAAACATCAGGTAGAGAGAGAGAGCCCAAGTTGGAGATCTCCATCAGGTCTCTCCCCTTGGAGCTCAGGGAACCCTGTGGAAGTGGGGGATGAAGAATTGTAGGAGTTAGGGTGTTTGAGGACACTAGGAGAAGATGGCTACAGAATCACTAAGCAGTGCTCAAAGTGGCTCAGAGCCTGAATCCACAATTACAGGGCCCACGTGGGTCTTCACTAGGTCCTCTGCAGGCATGTTATGGCGGCTTGCTCTTTTTTGTGGCACTCCTAACAGTGAGAGTGGGGGTGTCTTGGACTCCTTTGCATGCTCTTGGAACCCTTTTCCTCTTTCTGTGCTGCCTCTCCCAGCTCTGATATGAGGTTTTGTACCTAGCCTTATTGTATCTTGGTTTGCAGTGTTAAGCTGACATCCCTTGGAGGCCTGCCTGTTCTTTTCTGCAGGAACATGCGAGGAGGGGATTTGGGGGAGATCGGGGATGGGGAGGATGCTGGGAGCTCTATAGGGATGTATTTATTATATGAGACATTAGACTATAGAACAATAAAAAGAATGTAATGCCAATAATAACTTATCTAACAATAAATGGTAATATTCAGGAGGAAAAAGCTTTTATATTTTGCTGCATTCTTAAGTTTATCCAGTTTTGTTTATACATTAGTTTTCATAGTGAAAATCTTCTATAGTCTTGTTTTCTCCAGTTTCCCCTTAGAAGAACTCAGTAACATGAGAAAATCAACAGGGAAACTGAGAATTTTGAGAAAGAAATCCACAAAAAAACCTCTATTAATAAAATTAATAAAATATTAACCATCAACTAGACCAAACAGGAGAAAAAATATCAGGGATGGGGACAAGATTGAATACATCCTCACAGATCACAGGACCTAAATACTTTTTTCCTTGTACCAAAATCATTTCTCATGCAAATAGAACAGAACAAAACAGAACCAACCAACAGCCCAACAAATGCTTACCTACATTGCATTAAACAAGGTTAATGCCCACCCCAGAGGCTTGGTGAATGCCTTTTCCACATTGCTTTTAAAGAGAGATGTTCAAAGTTTCTTTATTCTGTACTAGTAGACCTTACACTTTGATAACCCTAAGCAATAGGAAGGAAATGAAATGTCTTCTTTCAGAGATGTTACTAAGAGTTACATGGGAGGGGCTGTTGAGACAGCAAGCACAAGATTCAGGAACATTTCATTTCTATGTCAAAATTCTAAAAATAAAAACTTAAAAGCAAACCTGATATTTAAGTTCTTAAAGTGCTATATTCTGCCCAAGTTGCTAATGGAGGAGAGAACAAGGTTCTTGATGCCTTCATATAAACACTAGACAAATCTGAGATTTATGGGAGGAGATACGCAGAGATAAAGACAGGAAATAGACTGAAAGATAGGAAGAAACCTATACATTTTCAGTTCACAAAGGCATATTAAGTGAAAAGAATCTTGGATCTATTCAAAGATTTAAACACCCCAAAGTTCATCTTACCTTTACTTGCTGACTCAGTTTGTACTATTGGATACAGTGCAGAAAAGCTGGGGATGGATCCACAGTCTATGAGAAGCCCTCAGCACTGTCTGCTGGGTGAGTGGAGGTCAGGAGGCAGGTGAGGGGCAGGAGGTGTTCTGAGAAGTCAGTGAACTCTCTTAAGTGGGGGCCACTGGCATCAAGGTACCCAGGCAGCGGGAGATCAGGAACATGGTGTCTGCACAAGGCATTGAACCAGCATCCTGGTTGTCCTTAGTATTTAGGCTGAAGTTGCTGTAACAGTTTTGAACATGGAAGTTTACTGACACCACAGCATGGCTAATGAGAAAGACTTATTTCTGGGCATCTGCAGAAGCCTTATTGGCTGCTGTCTGTCTGAAGAATGATGTTTCTGGAATGATTCTCATTCTGATTCCCAAGAATGAGCATGGCATGGAGAGTCCTTTGAGGGGGTCTTTGGGATCGTTCTGAAGGCCAGTGTGCATGGGATAGAAAACAAACACAGCGAATCCTCTAGGCTCCCAGTAAGCACTGTGCCCCATCTTCTTGACCACAACTGCACCTGCCAGCTTCCCCACAGTGACCACAGCTTAGCACATATCTTATGGGTTGTCACCATGGAAGTTTCACGGAGCCCTTGCCCTGGGAGCAGGAAGTTGGCACAGAACTGGGTGGCTCCTGGCCGGGGGTGGGGGGGGTGGGGAGTTCCCTGATTTGTTCTCCACTGATAAGTGACAGCGGCATCAGGTTGCTGTTTAGAGTGACAGAGCCAGCTCATTTCTGATTGGCCTGCTGTGGAGAATCCAGGCCACTGGCAGTAGATAAAAGCCCAGCTGAGGTTAACCCAAGTCTCATTCCAGGCTCTGCTGTAAATCTGGCCTCTTGGCCACACATCTTCTTTGCAGGAACCTTCCCTATCTCCAACTTCCTCTGCTGGTCAGGAATCCATGGTCCAGGACTAGAAGGCTTAATTATCTGAGCAGGTAAGAGAAGAATGACATGTATAGCCTTAGATACAAGCTGAGGATCCTAGAGAGGGTATGAAGGCACGTGGCTTGGGGTTGGATTGAGTTAGGGAACTCATGAGTTTCTACAAGGCAGGGAGTTGGGATTCCTTCCCAGGATGGACAAAATTCCAAGGGGCCTTGGTGACATGATTCTAGAGAGACCATCAGGGTCTGCTCAGCAAACCCTGGTCATCATCTTACAGGCCTTCACAACAGGTTGCTCTCTAACTAGTTCTCTTTGGAATGGAAGGTGGATTCCTCACTAGGCACTCATGGTCATCTTCACCCACCATGCCTAGGGTGTGATAAATCTTCTCCAAGAACATACTTCTGTGTACTGCTAAAATCCTTGTCAACTTAGCATGGGCTACAGGACCCTTTTCCTTGCCCAGCATCCCAGGACTTTGTAGAGATTGCAGTTGAGGCTCTGCTGACCTCTAGACCTGTCAAGGTATCCCTCCTCATATTCCTCTACACACCAACTTCTGGGGCCCCTGGACATCCCCAATGCTCTTTTCCTGCAGTCCCCATCTTCTTCCACAGCATATTGGGTTTCCAGGAAGGTCTTCCTCACTGCTCTCACACCCAGCACACAGTCCTGGATTTTTGAGCTAATGTGTTCAAAATCTGGATGATTGCAAGAAGGTAGAGGATGAGTCAGTCCCTCTGGCATATTTTTTTTCTCTTTATTGCAAAGAAATGTAGCATTTGTACCCTAACAAGAGTCTGGCATAAAAATAGGCAGGGAGAGTAAGAAAATGTAGAGAAACACACTCAGTCCCTTATTTTGCAGAGATGCACACATGTCTGGGAGGAAGGAAGGGATTGCACCTTACTGAAGTAATGCTAGGTTTTCTCCTGAGGAAATGCTAGCCACACACAGTAGGCCGACCTCTGTTTCATAACTTTTGAACACAGAAAGCTCTTGCATAGCTCCTGGAGGCCCAGGGTCCTTGAAATTCTCTCCCCTTCCTTCCTCTGCCAATCAGAAGTGCAGGAAGACCTGTTCTCATGGTGCCTATCTCTGGGAGATCAGTGTAGCTTAATGCATTTGGCTTTGTGCTAAGATTCTATTAATTTACGATGTTTTAACTTGTGAGGGAATGACCAAGAGTGAGGACAATGAGAGCCTGCTCAAAGCCTTCATCATTAATTTTTCTCCTTCTTTTGTATCTAGGTGAGAACATTGGCTTTTTGCTCCTTCTCAGGCTCAGGAAATCAGGAATAATTCTTGGTAAGCATTTCTAGTGTGCAGCTGTGAAACCAGTGGGCAGTGTAAGGGCATGGGGCAGCTCTTTGTGAAATGGTGGCTTTGCTAAAGGGCTAATGAGCACCATGGCCCAGAACTTTCTAGCACATAGAGAGCCTCCACCTACTTCTAAGAGGAGTCATTTCTTGACCAGCTCAACCGTTTCAGTGGTGGAAGGAGATATAGCACCTTCCAGACCCATGCCAAAAAAACCCAAATCAAACCAAACCAAACCAAACCAAAACTGTTTAACCAAAACAAAAAAGCACTGTGAGCAAAATTCCTGCAGTCCTTCCCAGGGGAGGATGACTCTTCCCTTGCTGCCTTGATGATCGATATAGCATCTATTCCAGTTTTGCAGTCTTTCAAATGGCCACTTCTAGCATAAAGCCAGCGTTTGGTAAAATTTAGCTTGCACAATGAAGAATGAAGAATAATGAGTGAGTGACTAACTGACTGAATGAATGAAAACATGGACAGACAATATTGCCTGGCAATTTTTGGGTTGCTAGGTTACAAGAACTGAGCCCCTTCGCTCTGATTACTTTGTCCTCACCCGTTTCTTGCACAGTGCGCATGGGAGTCACCATGTCCTGGTACTCAGTCCTGAAGAGTCTCCTTGCTGTCTGTGTCTTCACTAACTTATCCATTCGCTCTGTGGGTAAGAGTAACCGGCACTTTTTGTTTCAGGGATGAGAAGTGGGAGTTGGGCAGTAAGGTACCTTAGGGGAATGCCACAGGCCACTCAGATCTCCAGGAGTCCCTTCAATGTTCATAGCACCTTGGCCCCTGGGAAAGTTCGAGAGCAGCTGCAGAGCTTTGGGATGGCTTTCTGAATGTGTTTGCTTCCTCTTTGCAGAGAGTTACAGGTGTATAAACAAAGGATGCTTTAATGGGAGATGCAGTTCTAATACAAAGATGTGTGAGTCCTCTCATGGCTGCTTCTCCCAACTGCAGGAATTTCGAATATCAAGTAAGCCAATCCTCACTCTTACCATCTTCTAGTTTACCTCTGGCTCCTTCAGGGATGGAGCTGGGAGTGTGGGCTTCTGGGAGGTGGTGGGGATGAGCAATGTACTGGATGTAATCTCCAGGGACAGAGCTGAGAGATCCGGTTCTGTTTCTCAAATCAACCTCGTAGCGTTACTGGAGCATGAACCCACACTTCTTTTTTGCCATGCTAGAGATCAAATTCATGGCATCATGCACACTAAGCAAGTAATGCACCACTGGGCCCTGTCCCCATTGCTTGTCCTCTGGAACAATAGCAGAGGGACTCTTGGAGTCAAGGAAACATAAAGACAGAGGGAATGAAGGGACAGACTCCTTACCACTGGATGCTTCAATCTCTGTGTCTCAGAAGAGACCATTTCTTGAGCATTTGCTTCTCTGCAGCTACAATCCCAGGCTCTGAACTGCAGAAGAAAGACTGTTCTAAAGATGTGTGTACTAATCTAGCGTTCTCAGCAACACTGGGGAGCAACCAGACATTTAGATATAACCATCGATGCTGCTACACGGAGCAGTGCAACAAAGAGCCCTTGGAGGGTGAGTGCAGCTGTCTCTGTAGCCCCACTGTCTGCTCCGTGTCTTCTTTGCCTTTCCATGGGTTCGTCTCTCTGGGACACAGCACTGATGCTGTCTTCCTTTCAAGTACAGCGCCCGTTGGACACGGTTGGGATTAGATAAAGGCCCTTCTCCTGTGTGGTGGACTGAGAGAGGGTTGGATGGCGGGAACTGGTCTTGGGGATTTTAAGTGTGTTTCATGAATTAAATGCTTTGTGCTGTCCCTCTGGCCAACAGGCTTTTCTTGACTATTTAATTCCTCAGGTTGGGTTTTGTTGAGGAGTGAGCTTGCTGTGTTTCCAAAGCTTGTCTTGAACTTCTAAGTTCAAGTAATCCTCCTGCCTCAACCTCCAAAGTTGGAGTAGCTGGGAGCACAGGGGTGTGCTTGCGTGTGTGTGTGTGTGTGTGTGAGTGTGGACCACACCTGGCTCATTCCTCACCGTATGAACAGCATCTTTTTAGGAAGCAGATTATCTCCTCTCCCATTATCTAGACTTTTTTCTCCAGGGCAGAGAGCAGAGTAACGGATGAAGGTGAGGACAGCACTGAATTGCTGTGAGATCCTGCACTGCGCTCCCACAACAGCGCCTTTTCTCCTGTGCCTCCGCCCAGCTCATCCCAGTCACAATGCTTTTTGGTAGAATCATGGGAAAAACAAAACAAAACAAAAACAAAAACAACAAACTTGTATCAGATGAGACAGATGTGGAGAGACATGTTCTCAGCTATTTCTTCTGCCCTTTCCCGCTAAGATGAAAACGTCTCTCTCTCTCCATTCAGCGTCTCTGACATCTTCCCAACCCAATGGTGTAGAATGTCCTGCCTGCTACAGTGAAGGTGGCGTGTGCAACCCAGTGCCCCTGAAGTGCACAGGGGTAGAGACGAAGTGTGTTGAGGTTACTGGCAGAGGTATGAGGATTCCCCTTGAATGTCTTGTTAAGGGCATGACACATCATTCATCACCACGGAGTGAATTATGCCAAATAGAGCAGCTGGAAGCAGGGAGCATTTACTACGTGTCTGTACGTGTAGCTCTGTGGTCTGTGGATGGCCAGGGGCGGACTCAGGGTGTTTCACAGGTGCTGTACTCCGTTGTCAGCGCCTGTTTCCCAGCTCACTCCTGGTTTCTTGTGAGTTTCAATTCCTTTTCTTATGGTTTCGTCACAGTCTGCCGCAGTGTTCTCATGATTAACCGCTGGCTTTCCTCAGAGCAAACGATAAAGTAGAGGCACAGTCAGAGAAGAGGAGCTGTGGATTTAATGCTCAGCATTTCCTCTTGTAGACTGTTGATAGTTCAGAGCAACCCAGACTGGGCCGGGGTGGGAGCTGCCAGGAAATGGAAGAGACTGTGTGGAACATCTTTGAGAACTATCTCCATGTGGAGAAAGTGCTCAGATGGAGTCATGTGTTTGGAAGGAGCCATTTGTTGGGAGTCAAGAGTTAAGGATGGAAGAGAAGAGATGGGGATGAAGGAATGTAACTGCTTCCCACAGAAAAGTCCTATTTGGGTATCCATGTTGTTGTGATGTCCTGGAATGGGACCTTGGCTTGCTGAAAGTGTAGGAGATGATGGCACTTCAGAAATAGATGGTTTTTTTTTTTTTTTTTAACTGCTGCCATTGTGACAAGCAAAGCCTGTGATTAACTACTCAAGTTTTACCTGGTGTCACTCTAAATTCAGTAAAAGATAAATGTTTTTTTTAAAATTAAATATGTATTTGTTATGAAGGGCTCTTATGCCATTAAGACAGGAACTGGGAAAACAACTGTAGGATTTTTCTTTCTAGAATACACAGACAGAGGGAGGAGCTGGCAATTCTTCCCTGAACAATATATGGAAAGTTTCACAGAACTGTGAACCAGTGGTATTTTAGGAGCTGTTTAAGTGGTAGTGTGAGTTTGATGGGACTGGAGGCAAGCTATGCTTTTACTTGGAAAGAGGTTCTGGGGTGAGCAAGGGAAGGGCCCTTTGTCTAGACGAGTTGAGATGTATAGAGAAAATGGGATATCACAGAACACAAAGAAGGATTAAAACCATCCAAGTGGGACATGCTTCTATCTCAGTTTACCTCTGAAAACAGATGTCCAGCGCATTGTATGGCTATCCTCATAGGAAACTCAGAACCCTCAGAGGATGTCAGTTTGTGAGGGATTCATGATATTTTCCTCTAGGGAAGGAGAGAAAGGATAGAGTAGGTTGACAGGTACACTTAGACGAATTTTTGCTGACAGTTGAGAGCCTGCATTTGGCCTTCCTCTTCGCCTGCATCAAGCTCATCTTTCCCAGTCAGTGGGTACGCAGAGGTCTCATTGTAGTCTCATGTCTGAGATGAGAGGGTCCTTTCAAGGTTCCTTCTCTGTGGAAGTGTGGGGCCAGAGGACAAGAAGGCCCAGGCTCTACACAGACGGAGCTGTGCACAGAGGTGGGGGTGTGTGGATTCTAGACCGTTTGGAGCACAGTTTTCTTTCAAACGATGTGGACGAGGAGGGGAGATGAAATGGGAGAAGAGTAACTCTGGTGTCTTTTTGATAACAGCATGGTCTAACAAGATACATGCAATGGGTTGTGCCACTGAAACTGCCTGCAACGTGAATATGATTGTTCTGGAAACCACGTATATCAGTACTTCCTGTACCAACGGGAGCCCCCCACTCAGATCCATCCTCTCTCTTCTGAGTGGTCTTTTCCTAATGAAAGCCTTGCTTTGATCCTTTGGGGACTGTCACTCCCATGATCCTTTACATGTGACCACACCAGCAAACTTTCATGACTCCTTACCCAACAGGAGAGAAATAAAAACAAATAAACAACAACAACAAAAACCAAGACAGTGATGTTTGTACTTTAGACTGAAAACTCTGACTTTCTTTTTCCGTACTCCAGGTAGCCCGTTTCACAAGACTGCAGTCTATTTCTTGTCCCTGCCCACACCTGGAGCTCGACACCCCAGTGAACACCCATTTACAACGTTATCATTTCAGATTACTAATTTGTAACTGTCCGTTGCTAATGAAAAATTTTATTTTTATTTGTATTTTTTTGGGGGAGGTTGAAAGGATCTCACTAAAGGGTCTCACAGCTTCTGCTGGTCCATAATTCACTGTGTAGATGAAGCAGGCCTTGAACTAAGAGATCTGACTATTTCTGCCTCCGAGGGGCTTGGAGTAAAGGCGTTTGTGTCATCACACTAGACCTAGCAAAAAGTTTTAAGTGAACAATTCAGAGCCCAGGAAAATCATTTCCCAAAGTTGCTTGAACTTTTTGGATAAAGTGGTACACGCTTGCAATCCCACTGCCTAGGAAGTAGAGGCAAGAGGATTGCTGAGTGTTTATGGTCAGCATGGGCTATAGGCCAGCCAAGGCTCCAAACACGGCAAGATGCTGCCTCAAAAATTAAGATTGAGTATATGAAACAAAACAAAACAAAACAAAACAAAGAACAGTGCTGGGAAGATGACTCAGTCGGTAAAGTGACGACTTTTTAAGAACAAAGATCTGAGTTCGATTCTTAGAACCCAAATTAAAACAACCTGGCATAGAGGCATGCGCTTGAATCCCAGAACCGAGAACACAGACACCACAGATCCTTGGAACCTGCAGACTAGCCAGACAAATATAATTGGCGAGTTTCAGGCCAGAGAAAATTCCTGTCTCAAACACAACAGCAAAAACGCATATGAGGAACAAGAGCTGAGGCCCCACAGCTGTGCTTAAAATACACACAGACCCCCCCCCATACACAGTAAAATAAAAAATAGGTGAAGTTCAACTGAGCCTCCCTCACCTCTGCACCCTTGGGTGCAATCTTTGCCATATGCTCTGTAGATATCTGCGTCTCGGGAGAGATGGGCTCCGGGATAAGGGTGGGGACTGTAAAGGCAGTTATCAATGCTACGTTGATAGGCTTATGGTGCTTGAATGAAGGCCCAAGAATGCCTTTCCCCGTCTCGCCGCAGGGTCTACTCACGCTTCCTGAGATGTCTGTGAAGAGGTTTGGGTTGAGGAGAGAAGCCTTCATAGGATCTACCTGTTTGATGCCACAGCAAAGCAATCCTGCCCTCATAGATCCCTTGGTTCTTTAGGTTTGCTTTCTTGCGGGCTCAGCTTATGTCTGAAAAACTTATGAAAGAGGGGAGTGCCCTGGTGGTTACTTCTTATGTGGGGGTTGGCTCTCTGCTCCTGCCAGGGCTCACCCTGGGTCTCCGGACACCTGGCTTCTTCTTTCTTCTTGGCACAAGCTTCCCCATTTCTCCGTGTCTCTCAGCCTCTCTGCGGGCTGTGTGACTGGAGGGAGCACTCTTTTCCAAGCCTGCATACAGAGCCCTTTCACTGCCTTCACTCCCCCCTAAACTGTGCAGAGTAGAGTTCATGTCACATGGTGAGACTGAGTCTCAATATGAATGATGTCCTGTCCTTAGATTGCTGTTTGGACGAGATTCACTAAAATATTGTCCAATCCAGGACTGTCCATTATATGACCACCACATAGGAGAAAAGCTTATTGAACATTTCTATTGGAATGTGAGGTATTTGAGCCATACCTACTAGCTTGATTCACTAAACCATTTTAAGTTCAATAAGGGGAGCCAGACCCAAGAGCAGAGTTCAACCAAAAGGACTGTATTGTCTTTCCAATTTAAGCAACCAGTCTCAAACTGTCTCCTGACGTTTATGGGTTATTTTTACTCTTTCCCTTCAAGTTGGGATTTGTGTTAGCTGGAATAGATCAGGGAAGTTCGGTACAGGTCAGGAAGGAAAGCTTTTAGCCTCTACCTTCAGGGCTCCATGAACATTGCTAGGCTTGTGCTTGATTCTTTCAGTGATTTTTTTTTTTTTCCTACCACAGAGGGGAACAGAGGGAAACCACCTTAGAGAAACCCAAGACAAAGGGGAGGCAGTCATGGTGGCCTACAGAGACAGAAAGGTCTCTATGAGTTGGAGGCCAGCCTGGTCTACACAGTGAAGAAAAAGCCAGCTAAGGTTACATAGGGCGACCTTATCTCAACAAAACCAAACTAATCGATCAAAGACACAGGGAGAAAGTGGGCACGAAATTTTATTGAGGAACATTTCCACCTAGTGGCCGTATTTATGGCATAACAGCTAATTTGTCCAATTTTGCCCCCTCCCCCATTCGCTCTAACCATGCTGCCTTTGGGGCTTCAGGGCATCTCCTGTCGCTTGAGGTCGGTGTGGATGCCGCCTCACGGACCCCCGAAGCCCTTTGTGGATGCCCGCAGTGGCGACAGGCCTGCCGAAGTCTTCTGGGGGTGAGAGCCGACAAGGTCCTCCCAATTCCCCTTCTTCTAACAGGGGAAGTTAAGGGTGCAGGCGGGCCTCGCGGCCCCAGCTGACTCTGAGGCCTCAACACAGGTTTGCGGGGACGGACGACAGCAATGGGATCGGCACATGGTGCTCCTGACGTGAAGGACTTGTGCAGCAGCAGCAGCAGCAGCAGCAGCAGCAGCAGCAGCAGCAGCAGCAGCAGCAGCGGAGAGCCAAGCATGGGGGCACCGGCCTGCAGTCCGGGGGCGCCGGAGGTGTAGCCCAGCCCCCTGCGGCGAGTCAGCCGTGCCGCGGAGGGGGACGGATTCGGCTCGCGGGCGCCGGCAACTCCAGCCGCCAGCGATCCAGCACCCTCTTGTGGCCTCCTGGGGCAAATCCCAGAAGGGCGCGCGTGGAGCGCTCTCCTCGCGGCTGGCGGCGCCCTCCGCCAAGAGCCACGTCCAGCCCCGGGGCAGTGGACCGCTAGAGTGGCCGGCTGCCCGCCGCCCTGGGGCTGCAGAGACCGAGCACCTCGGCGGGAGCTGTCCATGGTGACTCTTCCTGCCTCGGCCTGCTGCTGTGGGAACCTTTCCTGCCTCAGACCGCCTGCTGCCGCAGCCATGGGAGCTGTCCGTGATGGCGACACCTTTGCTGCTTCAGCCTGCTGCCTTCGCGGTGGACTCTGTAAATTCTGGACACTCTGTAGACTGTAGAACCTCAAGGCCGAAAAGCCGCCAGACCTCTGCCTGAGGAAGCCCCAGCAGCCCAGCTCCTCCCCCAGACCTCTGCAACTGTCATCCCCAGCCCCTCAGCAGGACTCCTCCCAGATTATGCTAATTTGAGGTGAAAAGTCTGGACAAAAACACACCAGTCCCTAAGCAGAAGAACTAACCAGTCCCTGAGCTCCTCAAGCTCAGGACTGGAAACCCACCAATCCTCACCTTGGAAATCCCTGCCCTAGGAAGCTTCGCCCCTTAAGAAATCCTATATAAAGGTGGTGTCTGCCCCAGTTCCCTGCTGCCTTCTCCTGGGAGCAGAGATACCGAGTCTTGGATCCATCTCTGCAGTAGATCTCTTTTAAGAGATTTGCTGCCTGTTGTGACTCACAAGTGGAAGGAGAAAGAAGAGAAGAAGCAGAGCTCAGGCTCTTAAGCCCCCAGGGTTGGGGCAGCCCTCCCCTGGGAGCTGCAGTGCCTCTGCTGAGGAGGCCTCCTCTCAGAGATCTGAGGTTCCTGGGCTCCTGTGTCTCAGGACTGTCCCACCCTAGAGCTGGGATACCTTCCCAGGCCTCTGAGTTGTGAGTTTCCTGGACACCTTCCCACCTGAGTACCAGCAAGGCAGGCCAACAGCAGCAGTAACAGTGTTCAGTCATTATTATTGATCATAAAGCTTCATCTTCAAGATAAATTTATATATTACTTAGCAATCTCATGTGAGACTTTTTTTTTTTTTTTTTTTTTTTTTTGAGACAGGATCTCTACATAGCACTGGCTTCCCTAGAACTCACAGAGATCCACCCTCCTCCTCCCAAATGCTGGGACTGAAGGTGTGCACTACCATGCCTGGCTGAGTTTTCAGCTTATGTTTGCAGTGGCAGTACAAATTAAGAAACAAATTATTACATGTCAAAACAAAGCCAATCATTTAGCCAATTCTTTTTCCTTTGGCAATTGAAAAGACTGAATAGGATCGAGCCCATGAGTTGGATTGTTTGGGTCATGAATTGACATTTATAAATTTTAGAAGACCCGAGAAAAGCATTGCCATGTGTTCAGTGTGATTGACTCATCTGAAGCTGAGGACTAATGTCCTAGTTTGCATCTCTGTTGCTGACAGAGCACTGGCCGAGAGTGACTTGGCTTACAATAAACTTGGGTTTATTGTAGTTTACAGCTTAAGACTATCCTCGAGGGAAGTCAGCGCAGAATCTGAAGCAGATCCGTGGAGGGGTGCCACTTCCTGGCTGACTCAGCCTGTTTTTTTGTACCATCCAGGACCACCAGCCTAGGGGGGATGGAGCCACGAACAGTGAGCTGGGCCTTCTATTAACCATTTATCTGGGAAATGCCCCACAGGCTTGCCCACAGCCCAGTTGACAGAGGCAATTCCTCAGTGGAGGCTTCCTCTTGCCAGGTGACTCTAGTTTGTGTTGACGGAGAAGTAGGCTACATGGCCTGAGTGTTTACGTTTCTAAACTGTGTCATTAGGAAACTTGTCACAGCTCAGCTTTGAAAACAACTGACAGGCAGAATCACCTAGGTGATTAAAACAAGCAGAGATCAGAACGAGAGATGGTGGTACTGGCTGAGCCAGGCTCACTTCAGAGCAATCCATCCTGAATTTTGGGTAGTCGGCCTGGGATGAGGCAGCCAGCTTCAGGTTCCCTGGCTATCCTAATGATCAGAGGAGACCCTGTTATCCAGAGACATTTCTGTCAGGCTCCCTCTCTAGGGAGCCCAAGAGCAGCTCACTCCTCTCCACCACACAGCAGCACTGTGCTCAGCTCAGAGAGTCCTGTACCCAGTGCTGGGCGGTGCCACCATAGTGCCTTAAACACTGGG